ATAGTGAATTCGTCAGCAAAGATCGATAGTTCTGAGGGACTGCAAGAAGGTGTGACATAGATATTTGTGACAAAAATGCAGTTATACTTAGATAAGTGTTTAGGTCGGCATTTAACAGTTATACAGTCAATGTTGTCATTTGAGAATTTGAAACAGACGTTGTTGGCAGTAGACCACTGAGAATTAATAAAAGTGGCAACACCTCCACCTCTCTTCTTCTTTGAGCTGCATCGGTCTTGTCTGTACATTGTGAAATCAGGTAAAGAGACTAAATTATCGTCATATGAATCGTGCAGCCAAGTTTCTTGAAGAGTAATTACAGCAGTATTACAATATACATTTGAGTATAATAGAGAATGCAAGTAATTAATTTTTTTATTTTAATTTAATTTTGATTACAGCTTGATTCCACACCGTATTTTCAGTGCAAGTATGGAATTCTCAGCATGGATATCGGTAGCCTAAATTTCAGGCCGACCATAGATATCGCGTGTGCGCCGGCAGGGGATCGAACCCCGGACCATGTGCATAGTCGGCGAGAGTCCTAACCACTGTGCCACCAATATGGAGAATCTAAGGCGGCCTGCTTAAATCTTGGGCTACCAAAATTTCCATCCTACATATTGCATCTATTTCCTCGGATTTATTTTATTTTAATCATTCAATTATGTGTCCTAATCGTATTGTTTACTCTCGCGGTTATTTAAAACGTTTCCAACCGGCTGATTTACTAGTTTCTAACAAACTTAAGAAAAAGCCTCATGGTGGATGGCAACGAGCTTTAAAGCGTACTCCAATGCATTTGATGACTGTTCCTGTGATTATGAGCACAAATTGCAGATCTCTACCAAACGAACACTGTGCGTCGGGGGCACAGTGGTTAGGACTCTCGCCGACTATGCACATGGTCTGGGGTTCGATCCGCTGCTGACGCACACCCGATATCTATGGTCGGCCTGCAAAATTTGGGCTACCGATATCCATGCTGAGAATTCCATACTTGCACTGAAAATACGGTGTGGCATCAAGCTGTAATCAAAAATAATAAATAAATAAATATTGTCATGAGAGTAATACCTATGTTGTGTTTTCTCGCCAAGATTCAAGAAAGCCTTTTTGTTCAGCTTTCCATATATTTTGGGCAATATTTATCTGATACAGTGATCAGAATTAAGTAGTGGGACACTTTGCCGAGTTTCATATATGCTGAAGTCAAGTGATTTGGGAACACTAGTTAAAGAGTATTTTCTAGTCGTGTTGAAAAGTTGACAATATTTTCATGACCTAACAATGTAATGCCAAGAAAGGTGGCAGCACAGCGAGTGAGTCCATCAGCAAATAAGAATACTTCTGACAGATTAAATCCAATTATACATTGGAGGATATGAGAGATTGTAGAAAGTTAATTTTATTTTGCAGGGAGCTACAGTTTGTACTCATAATCATAGAAACAGACATTTGATGTACTGGAATTAGAGTTTTAAAGCACATCGAGTCTATAATTATTTTTTTTAACTTTGAAAGTTGTGATTAGATCTACTAACTGTCTGCCTACGCTTTTATTAAAGAGAAAAGATTCAGTCTGTTTAGTTTTTCATTGTATTATAAAATGGATACATTAGAGATCAGGAAATCATACACAACATGGATATATATATAAATATATGCTAAACCTAAAACATCAGTCTGTATTCAACAGACACTGCCATTTATCAGCAAAATACTCACATGATTGTTTGACAAACTAATTAGCTTTATTATAAAATAATTTAATTACTATAGCTATGTACGTGAAATTTATTTAGAAACTCCGCTTAATGCAATGCATAAGTCAAATGTTTCTTCAAAAAGCCGATTTGGATATTCCCGTTAATTCACTGGACAGAAATGTTTTTCCTCTGTTGACATACTGGCTCCTAGAACGGACACCTCAACAATGTCTGAGGATTTAACTTTAAGTAATTTTGTGGATGGTGACTAACAGTGGAATCCAGAATTTTAGCACTTCGCCCTATTCGGGACTCGTCATCTGGATTTACCTGCATTACCCAATGAGTGATGGTGTTCTCCCTGAGTATCGAACCCAGTACGCTTCATATCACACTCCAGAGAGTTGTTCACTAGACCAATTAGGATATGACAGCCACTTCGTGTGTGATGAGCGCCAGTTATTATTTTTAATTCAATTTGGATTTCCCCGCCCGTTGACTGACTGGACCGATATATATTCTGCCTCTACTGACATGATGAATCCCAAGCAGAACGAGATGCTCATCCTGGATTCCAGTGCTGGCAACCATCAGCCAAAAATTGTGTCAATGTAAGTAACTTCTTCTGGTAATGACAAAAATGGGATTGAGTTTTTGATGTTAACTGCTTGGAGGCGATCGGAGACAGAACATCCTTGTACTAGAATTTCTGATTATTGGCACTTATTGGTTAGCAAGGTAGGTATACCTTCAGCCTAGAAGGAACTGATTTCCCTTGGAAGACTTAAACTGAGTTGTCCAATGCAGTAGTCACAGATACTATCACTGAATTATTTGAACTGAAAAATAACATTATGCAGGACTGCATTGGATACTTTGATTGGATACTAGGTACTAGTGCTTTATTCGATGCAGATTGGATTTCGTTAGTCAAGTGGCAACCATGCTGGATGGTCCGCAGTCATGGTGCACTCTGCAGTGGTATTATAAGATGGTTTGAGGCAATCGTAAGGAAGCCTTGGACCTAGTTTTGACGGGTGCTAACAAGCAAGAAACTTAGGTCCAAGGCTTTCTGTCGGTTATTTTCAACCATCTCCTAATGGGAATCTTCACTTGACCAATCTTCCATCCATACTGGCAGCCGTTACTGAGGTATACAGACACATGACATTGGTTATCCCTATGGACTAATCAATGAATCGAATGATCATTCTATCATAGAATCATTTCAACTGATAAAAATACACAGTGATACAGTGTTATTAACTGATGACGTTTTGAATGCAATTTACTGCTCATAATCATGTAAGTGCTGTCACATAACTTTCAAACTTTATTGATATAATTCCATTATTTCTTATCGACAGGAGGAATTTGAAGGACGTCCCTTGCTTCACCTATCTTCACAGCATCATTTCAACTACAGACAACAATGCGGATAACGACATCAAAATCCGAATCGGAAAGGCAAGGTGGAACTTCGTTACCCTAAAATCAGTTTGGAAATCTTCACTCAGCATAAACAACAAAATTCTGGTTACCAGCA